AAACTCTCGCTTGGGATAACCTTACATCGTTACATGATGGTCAATGTGCCTTCTTAACTAGAAAGAAGTCTATCTGGATTTTATATGATCCATTTTGTAAGTTATTAAATGTTCATCTTACTTTTTAGAGTAGGTATTTGCTATTGTTAGGTCGTAAGCCATAGCAAAATAAAAAATAGCACCATTGATCTCATATCTTTCCCTAAATCCATATCCTCCATGTACCTTTTTATATCCTCCACTATCTTTTCCTATATGACCATTTAAGTACCAACCTAAAAAATTCCTCTCTATTTGGCATTCCTTGGACTGGTCCATCCATGTCCTCGTAGAATTATATTTTAATTCCATCCTCTGGTCCTACCTGTGGTGCATAAGTGCTAATTACGTTAATTATCTCCTCCCTTAACACAAGTTTAATTAATAGGAGTCTACGACTTACTCTCTTAGTATCTACTACTTTATCCTTTAAATCTTCGACTACTATTATGCCTACGCCATATCTATTATAATCTTTTCCTATACACCAAAGTTTATATCCATCAATTTCCTCAGTTTTTGTCCCTTACCACTTAGTTTCCTGTAAGCAAGTATGTTACCTCTCCTTCGTCTCATTGCTTCCATTAACTCGATACTCTTCCTGTTAGAGTTCCTACATTCCATGTGACTAAGCAAATCCTATTTCTCTTGGACTAGCTTCTTCATCACGCTCGTCTAAAATGGCACAGGAACCCTTGCCTACTTATCACCGCAACTGGGTGTCATTGTGGCATGCCACTTTTAGGGAATGCCCTAGCTAACCCTCGCTAATTTCTCACTACACCCAGGTGTTGGTACAACGTGTTGCTTACAGGGAACTGCCGAGCATGAGTATATAACATCGCATCAGGATTCATGAAATAGATGTGGCAAAAGTTTTATGATGGCTGCCACCTCACAAAAAACTTCTCCTTTCTCCGGGCTTGGGACCAGCATATGACAGGCTTGTGATCGATCCTATATCGTAATTTATGATTATTTCATAATTAACTACAGACATCACACCCAATTTGCAACCTGTTGGTGGAGCCAGTATGGGTGTAATGCTCCAAACTTACAGAAGATGCCCATTATCATCTTGATCATAACAACTACCTCAACTGATTGTGAGTGGAACTGGAGTACTTTTGATATAGTATATTGCTTTAATTTAGTGAATATAACTTTATTACTTTAATTTTTTATTAACTTATTTACATATTAAGTATTTACTATTTAAAATTTAAGTCCTCAAATTATTTTTAGTTTATTACTTAGTAATTTAGTAATCAGTATTAGTAATAACAATGTAAGTATTACATTTTCATTTTATGTGCATGTGTTTCATACAGGTTCATACAAAGAAAAGAGACAAACTTTGAAGAAAAGAGGCTCAATGACTTAATTTATGTGAAGTTTAATCGAAGATTACAAGAAAGATTTGCTAAGCGTGATAAAAGAGCCTCCCCCCCACCCCCCCCAAATCGAACGACAAGGAGAATGCCATGGAGTAGTTGGTTGGTGAAAATGATGAAGTCCAAGAGCATGAGGGATTGACATTGTATATAGCTTTAGAGGCAACAAGTAGAGCAGCGGACCTTCCTAGGGCCACTAGATCATCTACACAGAGGAGGCAAATTCAAAAGAAACGGAGGAGGACCGGCATAATGTTGATGAGGGAGATGATTCTAATGATGGAGTCAACTCTGATGCATATAACGAGGCTGCCCGTACTTTTTTTTATGATGACTGAAGACTCTTGAGTCTTTCAGTCCATGGTTCTTTTCTTTTTTTTCTCTTCTTATGTGTATGGACTATGGAGTATTGTATATGGATTGTGAGTTTGTAACCATATCATATTTTACTTTTGGTTGTGCTAGTATTAGTAATCAAGTACTTTGGTTTGGAACTTTGGAGTTTTGGACTATGGGATTTTTAATACTTTATGATGTGTTAATGTGTTATTGTCAATTTGTCGTATATTGTTTTTTTGATAATCAATTTGTCACATATTTTGGTTTGGATTTGGCATAATTCCACATAAAAATGTATAAACAATGCCTGAACATGCATTTTTATACAAAAAATTTACCTAAAATAGGATTCATTGACATCCCTTGCCCCCCTTTTGAACCCGGGAAATCCCTGTCTGCCTCAGCGTTGTACAGCCTAGAACCCCTTGGACGCCTAGGCGCTGCGCAACGTTTTTTGAAACGCTGGTTGCCCATAATGGCATGTAACCATAATGTTGGGATATGGCTATCAGGATTTCCATATGGGCCTTAGAAGCCAGTGCCATTCGCCTCATATTGGACTGTTGGTTCCTTGTTATTTAGATGCTCATGCCCCTAATCTTTTGGGCTTCCACATATCCTACCAATCTCTAAGGCATTATTTATAACCTTGAAGCATGAAAACTCTTTGCACATGCTCCAATTTCACTAGAATGATATCTCACATCTCATCGTAACATAAGGCACACCAAAATATTGGAGATAGTAGATTTAACGAGTATAATTCTGCCACCAGGATGAGAAAGTGGTTCTTCCAAGGGGCTAGTCTTCTTTTAAACTATTGAATCAGTCCATAGGCTTCTTCTTAACCAATTTTAAGCAAAACTTGCTTTTGGGAGAAAAAGAAAAGCTTGAGATAGTTGTATGAAAGGAAGGAAGCAATATGTCTAAAACTACAATCCAAAGCCACAAGCTTATTCACCACATACAACCTGCAATAAGAACTCTTGTTTAGCCCAATCTTGAGACCCAAAAATCCTCATAGCACCACAAAATGAACCGAATACGGTCCAACTAGTGTACTCACAGATTCCTCACAAAACATTATTTGTGATTAACAAACTGAAGATGAGTGTCTAAGACCTCCAGATACTACAATAAACCAACTCAAGAGGATGATGCAGGGGCTTGTGTCCATCTAGCAAGTGCAAGCTTCTATCATGATGGTGCATAGAAATGGTGAGAGGCTCCACTTGCCTTAGGTCCTTGAAGCACGGGAAGGAACTTTTTTCCCTTTTTTTGACTAAATAACTCCCAAAGAATCCATCAAGAGGAGGAGATCCATTGATTAACACTGAGAACCATGGGTCAAAACACACGTGGCCATCTATTTCCTCCACTTCACACTAAACCCCATATACAGAAAAGTTAACCTGGAAATTCCTACTCCACATGATTGTACATCTTCTCCATGTCAACTTCACAGATAATTCCTAACAGGCATTTGGACCTACAATCTAGGAATTTGTGGAGATCATAGGAGGACTCGCCAAGATCATAACTTGGTGAGTCCTCCTATGAGGTATGTGATGTGTCCCAGCTAGGATTCAATTATATTGATAGAAACCAGCTGGAAGTTGATTTTGAAGTGAGAAGCAGCATGGGGATAGGACATGGGCAATCTACATATAATACAAAGAATTTTGGGTATTATTTATGCATATTATGTAGATGTGATATATGTAGATATCACACATATACATGTATACAATAACATTCACCATACATACATAACTAAGCGTATTCTTTAATTTTCAAGAAGCCAGCTCTTAAAAATCCATATTTTTGGGACCACCACCGCCCTAATCACTTAATATATTTCCAGAAAATCATATTACACAAGAAAATCTTATATTTTTCCCATAAGTCGTAATACTTGAGCTAAACAAACTATGATTTACCCAAATTTTTCTGGGGGGAACTGAAGTTCAGTTTTATGACTTGTATGAATCACATAATCCTGCTTCATGTAAACTTGACTTAGTCCAGCCATTTCCACAGATGAATAAATTTAACAATACTTCACAAACTTTTCTGTAATACAGTTATCATTCACTTCACATGTTTTACTTCTCCATCCAATTTTGGAATACCAGAAATCCTTATGCAGTCTTGTCATATTGGGATGCTTTCACTGTACCCTTATGCATGTCATGAGATTAGATAATCAAGAAACCCATGATGCAACAACTCATATAGGCCCAGCCATGGCCTCCTACTTCTTCTCCCCGGTCCAAGAATCTTCTTCTCAATAAAATGGTAGCCACACAATCAATCTTCTATTAACTTGAATCAGAAAAATAGAGAAAACCTAAACTTGCCTTAGTTTAAACACAACTTTAAGCTTCTGTAAGCAAGTTCCTAATATGGATATCTTGTATTCTGCATATATTACATATGGTGCTGACTATATGGCTATCTGTGGACACTAAGTGTTAAGTAAACAATAGTCCATTTATGTGATAAGGTACTAATCGTATATAAAAGAACACAGATAGATTACTTGATTTAAGGGGCAACCAGGCAACCCTACACTTGCATTAGATCCCATAGAACCATGTCTTTGTTGTAAATGTATGATTTTCATATCCAAGCCCTTTTACCAGGAGCACATGATTCCATTGTTTCTTTCCTTCCACATGCTCTGAATGGTGTCTAATAATCTACTCAGCCATTAATGGTCAAGTCTAATTTCAACAATAATTTGTAAATTCCTGCTGCCACTATACTTTGTGACATGCATGATCTATTTCACACTAGTTTTTCCAACATGGAAGAACACTCCTAATCTCCATATTTCATATTGTCCTAAGCCATCATAGTAAAAATATGAAGTGTGATGCAGAAGCGATCTAATGAAAACTGAGCTCATCTCCTCCATTCCCAATAAAATAAAAGGAAATTTAGAAACGAAATATCTAAGAATGACTACCGGAACCAGATATTTTTAATTCTAACTTGCACTTCTTTTGACTTGTAATAAAAAATTCTTGAAATAAGCAAAACAGAAAACCAAAATACCACTACCTTTATCTGACCAAAAAATCCATCAACAATTAAACGCAGTTATTGTAATTTGTAAGCTGGTATGCAAATCCCAAAAAACTCTTCAATTGATTAAAAGATGAAAAACCCAGAATTATTGGCATGAGTGCTAAATGGCAAATACTTATGCACCGAAAACTGTACCTAATATTTGGGATGCATTTATAGCATGCCTCTCATATTAACATCTAAAGCTTTGTCTTTATAAAGTTGCATCCCTTCCATATCTCCAGTAATTGTAAGCATCAAGTTTCAAATTTTCAATTATGTATTTCAGCTGCAAAGACAGGCAAAAACAATAAGTTAGGAATTAATTTCTATACAATCAATAAAAGAAACCATCACCCCATAGATATTTATTTTCCCAAAAGATTTATTGACTATCCTTTCCATGACAGAAACTATTGCCCATCAAATGATCCATTAAAAAAATTACCCACGCTAAGTATTATGTATACATGCACATAAAATTTGAGAACGAAAAAAGAAATTTAATCATATTTTGCCTTCTTACCATGTATTACAAGATATAGAAACTCTTGTTTTACATATGTAAAACAGAAACTATTGCCATCGAATGCTCCATTAACAAAATTACCCACACTAAGTATTATGTATACATGCACATAAAATTTGAGAAGGTAAAAGGAAATTTAATCAGATTTGGCCTTCTTACCATGTATTACAAGATCTAGAAACTTTCTTTTTACATATGTAAAATTCCCCACTTGCTTCCTCCCTTTAGACAGGAATTGGTTCCAATCCAAGATCAAATTAGAAGCAGCTGTTGCCTGTTCCATTCTGAAGGAATTTTATTTCAAACCCATGATTTATCAGTACTTTACCCAACGAGTGCAGTCTCATGTCTTTGCTTATTAGCAAGCAACTCGGTTTCAGGAAGCTTATCTTCCTTGGACATTTCCCTAGCCAGAATAACATAAGTCTGAAAGTTGGGGGTGCATCCCTTTTCTTCCATTTCATGAAGAAACTTCAAGCACATCTCTGAATTTCCTTCCTTCAATAAGCCATCTATGAGCACAGTCCAAATAACCTCATTGGGATTCCATTGCGCCCCAAGCATGTTATTGAACAAAGCTTGGGCCTCTTCTCCCCGATTGTCTTTGCAAAGAGAAAATAAAAGTGCCTTATAAATTGCTAAAGAAGGTTCAAAGCCATTAGTTATCATTTCATGGAACATTTCCAATCCAGATTCTACCCTCATCTCTTTACAATATGCATCGATTAAAGAAGCATACATAGCTTCATTCAGAAAGAAGCCATTCTCTCTCATTCTCCCCAGCACCTGATCTGCTTCATACAATTTACCTTCCCTACACAATCCACACACAAGAACACCATAAGTGTCGACAGTATGTTCGATATTGTTTTGGGATAATCTCTCTAAGAGACTGAAAATTAAGTCAATATTGCTACGTTGGATTGCCTTCTCAGAGCCCATTAACTGTTTCTCTTTCTGCAACCCCTTTATTAGCACCCCATAAGTTCGGTAATTAGGCTTGCAATTAGCATCTATCATTCTCTTAACTAGCTGAAGTGCATGGTCCATCTGACCCAACAAAACAAAACCATCAATAAGTGATGTATAAGTCACTTCATCAGGATTCAACCCGATTTCCTCAATCTTTTTAACCATCATCTCCGCCTCTTCAGCCTTTCCTTCTTGACATAACCCGTGAATGAGAGCACTGTAAGTGTGCAAATTGGGCAGGCATTGCTGCTTCACCATTTCATTGAAAACCCTAAATGCAGAATCGGTATCCCCTATTCTACAAAGCCCATCAATCCATGTTGTATAACTAATAACATTCGGTTTCAGCCCTTTTTCAACCATCTTATTGAACAACTTCTCTAGTTCAGATACCCTGTTCTCCTTACAAAAACCATTAAATATGGCATTATATGTCTGCAAATTGGGTATGCAACCATATCTTTCCATTCTCTCCATCAAAGAGAGAGCAATTTCGAGCTTCCCAGACTTGCAATGGCCATCAATCAAAGCAGTGTATGTAACCTGGTTTGGGTTCAGTCCATTTCCCAACATTTCATCCATTACTTTAGAGGCCTCTTCCAGCATACAAAATTTGCTAAAGCCAGAGATAAGTGCAGTGTAAGTCCATTCATCTGGTGCACACCCACTCTCTCTCATCAATTGGATCAATCTTTTGGCATTACTAAAATTACCCACTTTACAATACCCATTGATCAGTGTGTTATAAGTCACCTGCGATGGAGATGGACCAGCCTTGAGCATCCTATTGAAGAAAACCATGGCTTTATCCATCTTATTTACCAAGCAGAAACCCTTCATTATCTCATTATAGGTTTTGGAATTTGGCATACAACTATGCTTCTCCATCCTATTGAAAATGTCTAAGGCAGAGTCAACTCTTCCTTCACTGCAAAACCCATTAATCAATGCATTAAACGTCACCGTATTGGGAACCAAACCGTTGCTAATCATTTCTTTCAACAAATCACAGGCATCTTCCAGCTTTTTACATCTGCACAATCCACTGATAAGTGTTGTATAAGTCTGTACATTGGGAGGGCAACCCCTATTCTTCATATCCTCCACCAAATCAAAAGCTTCCTTTACTCGACCCAATGAACAAAGAGTAGTTAAAAGAACAGTATAAGTATAAACAGTGGGTTGGCAGTCTCTCTCTACCATTTGATTTAGCATAACCAAAGCTTCATCAATTCTCCCTTCTTTGCATAGCCCATTAATTAAAGTAGAATATGTCACAGAATTCGGAAGGCATCCTTCCTCTTGCATATGATTGAAAACCCCAAAAGCTGCATCTAAATTACATTTTCTACAATGTCCTAGAATCAGTGAAGTATACGTAAACGTATCAGGCCTAAAATCAGCCTGCAAAATAAGACCCAAAAACCCATATGCCTCCTCTACCTTCCCCTTCTTGCACAAAACATTGACCATTGTATTGAAGGTAAGAAGAGAGGGTTTAACCCCACTATCCACCATCTGATAATACACATTTTTTGAAACCGTGTCCATGTCGAACTTCCCCAAAGCAATTAACAAAGTGTTATAAACAGGAAGGAAAAGCCCAAATCCTCTCGATCTCAATTCATTCAAAAATTCAATAACTTTAAGGATTTCTGCCTCATCTGAACAAGCTTTGATCATAAGAATCTGTATTTTCTCAGCTTGTTTGAGCAATTGTTCCCTTAAAAGAGACTTCAACAATACGAAGAAGGTATCCAAACTGTGTTGGTATCCGGGCCTCTGTGAAATCCAGTAAAAGAATTGAAGAGCTGATTTTGCATCTTTATGTAAGCTTAAAACATTGGCTACATGGTGATGGGTCAATCTAGGGCACAAGTTCTTCAGTTCTACGCTGTGTTGCCATCCAAATGAACGAATAATAATGCAAACTCTATGAACAAGGTCCGAGAATTCTTCTTGAATAGGTTCATGGTCAGTAGATTGAGAAAAATCAGCAGAAATATCACTAGTCATCGGGTTTTTCTGAGACCCACAATTCGTTTCCGAGGAAAGAACCGAAGATTGACGAGACCCAACAAAGGAGTTCAGTTTAAAGAAAGAAAATGGAGATGGGTTTTTCAAATGATTCAAGAAAATGGCATTGGTAGGAGTGTTGAAGGCTTGCCTGTACATTTCGTTCATAGGTACGTGTCGTGGCCATGGAAACATGGATCGGGAGGTAGCTGAAGATCAACGCTTGATGGAAAGCTCGGATTTTGAATGCATTGTTGCAGAGGAGAGGGTATTTCTCTCTCTACCATGGCGAAGGGCAAGACTCTAAGAGTGGTCTTTGGGACGCCACATCTTGGGCTTTTCGAGAGAGAGGTGGTGCTTTTCTAAAGAGAAAGAGAGAGGTGAGTAGTAGCACATCACGAGAGAGGGAGATGAATGTTTTGATTCCACCAGTCTCTACACTGTCAAATGAATGAAGCGAAGCTTACGCAAAATAGGGTGAAATGTTTAGGTGGGGTAAAGGACAGTAGATATGAAAAACCGATTAATGGCTGGCGATGGATGGGACCTGACCCAGTACGAGTTGATATCAAAACCGATTAATGGCTGGCGATGGATGGGACCTGACCCAGTACGCGTTAGGCATGGGGCCAATTTTTGAACCTCCAGGACGGTTGTGGGTCCAAAGCTTGGACCCCAATATTGTTTAGGTCTAGGTCCGATTGGACTTGATCCGTATCTTAAAAATAGTTAGAGATAAAATATTTGAAACCCTATTCATTTGGATGGATTAAGGATGATTGTATATAATAAAAACTCCTACTCATTTTTAGCTATTAAAAGATAAATCATATCGCTTGAAATCTAATAGCAGGTGATTATGACATTGTTGCCAATAATATAAATATATGATGGTAAGAGAAGGGTAAAAAAAAAAAATTCATAGTGAGGGTGGCAATAGATCCGATCAAACCCGAGACCCAACAATATAGACTTGAGACTTAACGGGTACAAGTATGGGTCTAACTTTTGGACCCAACGAATTGGGTCTGGGACCAAAGCCTGTTCGGGTCTGGATCCGGTTTAAAGTCCAACTGCACCCGACCTATCACTAATTCTCAAATAAATGGGCAAGCTTTCTAGGCTTCCCCTACAGCATAAAACTTATATAATTCCCCTTATCCAACCCTCCATTCTGAATGGAGGGTTAAGATTGCCCCAATCACAATGTCACGTCTTTACACTGTTTTATTTTTATTTTTTTTTCTATAAACTATTTTAACACCAAATTTTGGACGTCCAATCCTCTATTTAACTCGTACTAACGAAAAATATATAAAAAAAAAATTCAATAAAATAAAATGATCAAAATACCCTTGAAAATTTTAAAGTGTATTTTGGTCATTATATTTTATTGAAAAAATATTTTTAATATTTTTTTTGGGTGTGCCCCCATGAGAAGATAGCACGTACCAAATTTTATATTAATATAATTTTTTATTAAAAAACTAAAAATAAAATATTTTGAGACGTCAGATCTAAGATCAAATGATGAGTGGCTCGCTTGATCAAAATTGGATGGCTGGATGGTAGGGGATGCATAGAGGAAGCATAGATCTTCTATGCTATAGGGGAAGTATAGAAACCCTTCCCCAAATAAATTACAAGGCGGCTGTCGAGAAAAGAAAATCATAATGCGACTTTAAACTGCAATTTAAGTGGAATGATTTCACGCCACCGTACACCATGTCATTATAATGTATTGAAACTGAAAATCATGTTTATGGCATTTGCACGATCCTAAATTTTATACAAACATTCTATTTATCCCAATAATTAATTTTTAAAAAAATAAAATTTAATTTGTGTCATAGATAGGTCAAAATGAGTGCCCTCCAACAATGAATATCGACTATCCATTTAGTAAATTTCAAAATCTAGGCATTTAAGAATTCAAAATCAATTTTTCTTTTTTTAACTGTGTTAATCTAATAATAATTAAGCTATCTAAAAGTTTTGAAAAGAAAAAAAAATTTTCTAAAGCCTACAACATAGAATATCATTCAAATGAACAATTTATATTCATTGGGGTTAAAAAATACTTTCTAGGGTATGTTTTCAAATTTTACTTTTTTTTTATTGTTCAATAAATAAAAAGTTATATTTAACAACTAGAGTCAAACACTTGTAACATGGTTTTTGGAATATAGACCCATTGCATGAATTCACTCCCTTTAAATGAATAGCGATGGCCCAGTGAGATCAGGATCAGAGTGTCCCGTGCCTGAGGCCTTCAAATCCATGTTATGTAACCATACTAGTGTTTTAAAACCCTTCAATTTGCAATGCATAAATCAATTTGTATGGGAATTGATATGGACCGAACCTGTTTGCAGATGGTATTAGTACCAACCAGTTAGCCTTATATATTCTTTTTCATCTTTGTGTGCTTATATGATATTTTCTTGGGTCGCCTGTATATCTCCACCCTATAAACCCCAATTTTAATTTTTTTTATATCATTAAAACTTTTAATACTTTTTGGATCATTAATTTGGACCGATTCAAATCTGATTCGAATTACTGATCCTTGCAATCCGACATAAATCTGTTGGTGAACGATTTGCACCACTGATTCGGGTTTTGAAATATTGGATCATACTACTAAGGAGTTCAGTACAATCAAATTCATCAACTTATTGGCCAAATTTGTTAGATTTGAATTGTAGAAATAACTAAAAAATCCATCATCATCACCATGGCCTTTTTCCAACTATTTAAGATCAACTATACTATTTAAGATCAACTACACTACCAAAGGCCATACCCTCAGTGAGACTCTAAATCGCCATATATTTTCTCATTATTACCAACCAAATCCTTTTGGCCTTACTATTTGCCTTTTTTTAATCTTCCACTAAAAACAACTCACACATCCTAATACGTTGTATTGAATCTGCATTGCATATGGCTAACACAACTAAATCTATTTTTCTTATAACCCAAGTTCTCTCGAATGTATTCATATGAAATTCTACCCTTCTTGTCTTGCCACTCATTCATCTCAACATCCTCATCTCAGATACACTAATCTTATGGGTATGTTATTTATTGACCTCCCAACATTCTGTCCCATAGAGCAAAACTAGTCTCACGTTACCCTGTTTTTCTCACCTTCTCATGTAGGGAAAAGAAGTCAATCGGTGAATCTCATTTTTTAAAGTATTTTCACTGCCATTGAAGCCGATTTTTATTTTACCCAAAGAAAAATAAATACGAAAAGAATTGAGAATAGGAGAAAGGTAATACTTCATTCTTGCATAATCTCAACAAGCCTTCTGTTAAGAACAACCAATCTTTCATGAATTCAAACTAAACTCTTTAATGTAAAACTTCGGTTTTCACTTTATAATTTAAATTTCTACCGTAAAACCAAAACCATATTGACTAAAACATGGCATTCTCACAAACTTTGCATCTTCAAAAAAAAAAATGCAATAAAAGTAGACTTATTTATCACTTCTTGTCTTCGGCATTTGAGAGAGAGAGAGAGAGTGAGTGAGTGAGCGAGTGATCACTTGAGGGGGTAAAGAGGAGAGCTCCTTAATCCTTGAGGCAAACCTGTTTCCACAGGAATTAACCAAAAAAAATACTAGCCCAAGCAAACAACCCAAAGCGATTTTTTCTCCCTGGAAACATATTTCCTGGTGATCAAACGTACCAAATTAGTAAATAAAATGAGGGCTATGACCTGATATCTAATTGAATGAGTTAAACCATGAATATACAATGAAAATGACATGCATAGATCCCTTCAACGATTGTTATTCCTGCCTCAAGCCCCATAGAGAACAGAGAGGAGCAAAAAGTGAACAATAATGAAACAATTGATCACATTTTCATAATCGAGATCATGAACGCCCCATTTAGGCTTTCAGGCTCTATTTGAAGAGCAAGAGGGGATCAACTTTCTCATTTAAATTGAGACATTCCCATTGAAAGCTCCAAAAAGAGTCACAGTATTCTTGGTATATTAATGCACTAGATGTTGACCGAGGCAAGCATCAGTAAGTCCTCAAAAAAAATGTCCTCATTGGCTTTGATTGTGAGAATCTTCCTTCCCATTTTTCTGCAAGAATGATAATATCAACATAAAAACCAGAAAATTGAATAACTGTTACCTACCCATCGAAACCACATTACCTAATTGCGATAGAGAAAACATAACATAATTGCCGCTTACAAGTTCCCATAATTAAGATCTCATAACATACACATTAACAAGGCTAATTGTGATAGAGGAAACATAATATAATTGCCGCTTACAAGTTCCCATAATTAAGATCTCATAACATACACAATAACAAGGGTTGAATTTATTGCAACATAAAAGAATTGCCATCACTCTTTTAAGTGTGAATTAGTGCTTTAAACACTGAATTAAGATTTCATCTGAACTTTTGACCCATTAATGCTAGGATGCCTTTGCTATAAGGCCAGGCTTTATGAGAAAAAGTAAACCCTCACCTGAAAACTTCATATGGAAAACACTTTTAGCATGGAAAACCCCTATGATGGCTCTAAAATCTATTTCCACTATACTGATTATGAAATTTGTAACTCAAAAAATAGTACAGATCTCGCTCTGCGAGATCTATGAATACTTGAACATGGATGGTCCAGATATGTGTTACAATATACATTATTTTTAAGGCATGAAATCCTAATCTTATTCATATCCATAATGATCAATATCGATATGATCGATTTGAAGGTTTTGGGACTCCGAAACTACAATTTTGTATAAGATTTGAGGAACTGCTTTATTTTTTTTTCATAAGGCCTAACCCTTATTTTAACCTTTTCCTTAATGCAATGGTCATATTGGTCATCAATGAATTTACAATTATGTATTATTTCTAATATGATCTGTGAAAGACTCCAGGTCATGCGAATTAACCATGGATTGAGGGGAAAAAACAGAAATAAATACATGCAAATTGTATGGGGATTTTAGCATCTCTTCTTAATCTACATGAATCATGGAAACAACACAGACACTCTAAATAGGAAAATACAAAGACAAATCCCCTACAACCCTCCAATTATAGAATTCCGTGCTTGCTACTTTTTTTTAAGAATAAATGACTTTTGTAATAATAATAAAAATGGATTTATAAAATTACACCTCGAAAGAATCTATGCCCAAACAGGAAGGGCAAAAAGCAAAAGTTTACAATCACAAAAAGAAAAAATATGCCCTGTTTCAGACAAAGGCCTGTTAATTACAAAGGTGCAGCTGGCAACCCTTTCCTTTGCAAAGGCGTCAAATCACCAAATTTGCCTCATGCCATATGTGCTTGTATGAGACTCGTATAGTACCAGAGCTAAAAAAAATTTGGTCAAACAAATGTCCCAAATATCAGGGGCAGGGGAGCTCCAACTCAAGAAATTGGCCCCAATTGCAATCAAACAGTTTTCAGGCCCTCCAACAAAGCTTCCACCTTCATGGAATCTGCCAATGGGGCCTGCATAGAGAAAAAACATCCCACCACAATGCTTCTAATAATGCCAAAATTCCCGCAGGGCCCGGGATGCATAGAGAGAGCAATCAAAATTGAGTATCATGACCTTGGGAGGCGAGGGCAACCGCTGATTAGATCTGGAAATAGCCAACGCCCTAGCACCTTGGATGATAACCCAATTTTGAATAAAACCCAATTTTGAATAAAACCCGAAGGAGACCAACCCAAGAATCCGTTATGATTGCGAGCACAAAAGGCGACAGTGGACCCTATCTTGTCCTCCAAAGCAACGAACCCCCTTTCCATGCTCTAAAAGATTTGAGAGTTGCCGTCGATACCAAGGACCACATCAAAATTCCGGGTAGCTTGCCAAAGGAAGAGCCCTACAATAGGGAAACCCATGTTGCGGTTGTGACCTTTCAAGGCCTTGACACTGATATTTTCCATGGTTCTTGGTCGCGGTGAGAGTAAATGAGAACGTGTGACTTACCAAATCTAGGCGAACTAGGATCCAGAGTTGGTGTCCATAAGGTCATAAACCCCAAATCACGAGGCTCAGTTTAAGGGGCATTGTATCGAAAAGGATTTTAGGTATTCCCTTGGTTAGGATCGGTAAGATCGCCCCATGATCAGTTTATTATTTTTGTTTCTGCGTATGATTGGATATGGATTGAGAATCTGAGATATGCGTATGAGAGATTTTGTGTTGAGACCTTGGGAGAAGAATCGACTATGAGAGGACATGAATCAAATCCCTGACAATGATCATACTCACATCATGTGCATATGACAGTCACAAAATAGGAAGCCGCTCTCACTCAAGAAGATCCATTGAGGAGAGAAAAGTACATGTGACCCCACATCCCGAGAGTGTGTCCTCGAGGGTCCACTTGCAATCCACTATACAGCCAAGACCTAGTCATCCATAGGGTTAGCTTTGATGAACCAAGCATAAGCCCTTACCAAAGACTGTGGGTCATGGGCCTTGTTAGGCTAATTTCAGGAGTGACTGGGGATTTCGCATCTAGTTGAGTGGAGTACCAAAATAGATGAGAATAACTTGTTAAGGATCCCAAAAGAGAATTTTGGTATGCCCTAATTTCATTGAGAAATATCAAGAAATACTGGAAATGATTTTTGGGATTTTTATATATTTTCTTGGATATTTTTACAAGGTAAATTCTCTCATATAGCCAACTTTCCCTGAATTCCACTTGAGGACACACTCCATGGGGCCCAAAATAGCCAATGGGCCCCACGGAGAGTCCACGTGGCTGATGACTTCAGCCACACATCTGTATTGCAACTAACGTGTGGGTGACGTCAACCACAAGGTGGGACACCCCACCTCCCCTTCTCTCTTAAGGATGATTTTGTAATTTTGATAATTGAGTGGGTGTTAGAAAGAAAGGAGTCACCAGAGGCTGTATTGACATAGTGAGAGATATGAACGAGGGACCGCTAATTAGTATGTAGACACTAGTGGAGATACAAGTGAATTCTGAGTGACAATGGGCCTACATCAAGGGTTAGCGCCGAGCCCTTATCTCTTTGTTTTGGTTATGGATGAGTTAACCAAGCACCTACTAGATGAGGTATCGTGGTGTATGTTGCTCGTGGATGACAGTTTTGATCGATGGGACTAGAGGCCGCACAACGGAAAGTTAGAATGTTGAAGGGATGCTCTACAATCTAAAGGTTTTAAAATTAGCCGGACTAAGACAGAATATATGAAATGCAAGTTTAATAATAATAGGAGTAGAAACGAGGAAGCAGTTAAGATTAATGGTCAAGAAATACCTAAAAGAGATTCTTTCTGATATCTAGGGTCAATAATCCAGGAGAACAGAGAGATTGAGGAAGATACCGCACATAGAATTAAACCTGGGTAGGCAAAATGGAGATATGCATATGGAATTTTATGTGATCACTGCATACCATTGAGATTGAAGAAGAGGTTCTCTATGACGGTTGTAAGACCAGCCATGCTTTAAGGGACAGAATGTTGAGAGGTCAATAAACAACATATATATAAGATGAGCATAGCTGAGATGAGGATGTTGAGATGGATTAGTGGCATGACAAGAAATGATAGAATTTGGAATCAATATATATAAGGAAACTTAAGTGTAGGTTCAATAGGCAATAAGATGAGAAAAAGTAGACTTCGGTGGGCTGCCCATATGCAACGACCTAATACAGTACGGGTAGGAGTTTCATGGATTTAAGAAAGCTCTAAAAGGCCAAGTGGAAGGCTCTAAAAGGCCAAGTGGAAGGCTCTAAAAAAGCAAGGGGAAAACCCAAAAGGATATGGATTTAAGAAGTGAGAAAAGATATGGTGACTTTTGGTCTTATAAAAGATATAGCCCATGATAGAGAAGAATGGAGGAACAGGATTCATGTAGCTGACCCCAAATCATTGGCATAAAGGCTGGATGATGATGTTGGTATTTTAACACGTGTGGGGTGTTAAAATGTGTGTGGGGCTTGAAACTTTGAAGTTGATATTTTCCTTAAATCATGGATTTTAGACAAATTAAATCCTAGATCTAAAAGGGTTTTACCTGGTGTTAATCTCTCAGTGCTCAAATGTGTGGAAATATGACATGAAGTGTCATATGACACCAAGTGTGTCTTATAACATACCACGTGTGAACGGCATGAGGTGTTGACAGAGAACACACCTTTGTTTCAAATAAAAATTTAACTTTCTAGAGATAAGAATTTTATAGAGAACAGAGGGGTATGCCTCCATATGATTTTCTCTTCACACTTAATTTAAAAAGAAAGGGCAATTGTGAAATTGGTTTTTGTTGAATTTATGAAATTAATTAATTTGGAAATTTTGAAGATGTTCACACGTGGGGTGAAGGTTGGAGAATTACAACCACCAAAAAAAAAAAGATTAAGTAGATATGTATTTAGATATGATCTTACCTCTCTCCAAGCCTATGATACTCAAGATTAGAGGTCTAGATTCAATCAATCAAAAAGGCAAACTCAAACCCTTGCTTATTCTAATAAATACCTTTCATTACCTAAACCCCATCACACGTTTGAAGAGAGACAAGACCCCAACATGAGGCCTAGATGGGCTTCTTAGAGAGAGAGCTAGAGAAAGAAAGAGAGAGAGTTTGTGAGGCACACCCCCCTTACTTCACTTAGCCTCCTACCCTTTCACGGTGCATGCATGGAGCTTCTTCCCTAAGGTGCAAAGGTGACTTCCATGGTGTTTTAGGCATTCTTTTCTTGATGTCTCTGAGCATTTACAGCAAGGTAACTTTTTATTTCAAGACTTATTTCTTGAGTTTAGATTAGCCTTTCTATGCCTCTCTGGTTGCTTTACATAATGGCCTATATATAGTATCATTAGCCCTAGTTTACATGAGATTTCTTTGAGTTTTAATGGCTGTAATTTCCTGCACTTTTCATCCATACAACAGCCAAATATTTAGCTCCCTTGTATATTAGAAGTTTGATTTACAAGGGCATATTATGCCAAAATTTACTCATGCACTGATGCACCCCATTGATAAATTCATGCTCCATAGTGCCTAAGTTAAGCTCCACACACCTCTCTTCAATCTTACTTTGACATGCTCCA